ACAAAGTCTTTCTTGCTATCCTTCTGATAACAAAGGAACGGAATAAACCTAAGAGGGGGAAAAATCTGCCATGTTTCTGCAAGTAAACAATTAAAATTGTTCTAATACCTTGGAACACCGTTGCCAAATGACTATCCTGGATGGTCCTTTCTCCAGCTTCTGCAGCAGAAAGAACAGGGTTAAAAAACAAAACGAAACAAAAAAACAACATGGGGAAGAATGTGAGAACACCCTGACACAACAAGGACCCTTCAACAGTTCCTGTCCAATTTTCATCTGACTGGCTGCTACAGGCACAGTAACATTTTTATAGCTAATCTGTTCTTTTCTCTCAATAATCTGCATCAAAACATTGCTCTTACTTAGCTCAGTAATAGCTCTCGCCAATGAACATGCAGAAACAGCAAGGACAGTATAGGAATTCAGCAGTACTGAGGAAAATTCTAATCCTACAAAATTTGGCAGCACAAATCTCTTATGTAACCTGTGATTTGGAGGACAGTCTGATCATCTGGGAACATTAATGTGTTCTTCCCAGTACATTAAACAAAAATGGCAACTTTCCATTACAGATTTTCTTTTGTTTTTCACTGCGTAATGTCTCAGGAAAGGCGTCCCATGCCAACAAGACATTTTTAGTGTCAACAAAAATGCTTTTTATGACAATTCAATTATACTGAAGTTGTATATAAGTTTAAAAGCTAACTTTAAGTGCTTCTTTGCCAAGATTGCCTTGAACTGTGGTGCATCTCAGAGGTGCAGGAGAGGGCTTGTGATCTAAATTTAAAGCAATGGGTCTCCAAAACAATGCTTGGAAAATGGGCTTTTCTGAAAGTTGACTGTTACATCAACAAATTTTACAGATCTCAGGAACTGAACCTCTCATGAGGCTAAGAAGGTTTGAGAGCTACAGATGGAAGATCCCAAGCATGTACAAACAACTAGAAAAACAAACCACTGTTTGTATCCACTATTAAAAAAACCCCAAAACAAAACCTGTCCTCCTTTTCCAACAAAAATACATTCTAACATGCAAAAGCAGCTGCCCAGTAACAGGATACAGGTGCATAAAAGCTCTAGTCACAAAATAATTATGAACCAAGGATCATATTATTTAAATCCCTGTTGTTATTAAATCAGTTACAAAATGAGGTAAGAGTTCATTCAGTGCCAATATTTACAGAGTGCAATAAACATTCAATTCATACCATGTATTCAAGAATTACAAAGCCATGCGTTTGAAATAGAGATACTGGCAAGTTTTAGGAAGACAAGAAAAGAAGTTTTATTCACAGAATAGCAAAAATCAATCAATCTTATAAAACACACCCATAAAAGGTGAAGAGTTCAGAGGATATTGGAGAATCTGCCACCTGAAATCACCACTCACTCTGCTGACAAGCACTTGCTGCAAAACTTGAAGCCAATTATAGACATCTTCTTTTCATGCATACAAAGGATGTGCCATCGAGATGTACACTAATATTAGAATTCCTTGACGTGTTTGGAATCAAGTGGCTACCACCATGTGGAAGTAACTTTGCAGGCTGCCAGCTATCACCAGCTAGCTAATCCATGCACCTCCCTTCAATTGTTAAGGTAGGTGAAGCTTTTAAAATGAAAAGCAGCAGCATTCCTCTCCTCTTTTGGGGGACCCAGCTCATTCCACTTAGTAAATATAAAATGCTGAAAAGAATTACCGTTTTAGCAACTGCAGGATGTCAACACATTTGGAAGAAGAAACTTTGGTGACAAATGCTCAATAATGGATAGTTAAGGGTGACAGGAAATGTCAGGCAACCCCCTTTAGAGGGCTACTTACAGTGCAACCACAGCATGGCAGGAGTTAAGAGCAAAGAGAATAACTATATGCCCAGTATTCTTCATTTTCTCCCACTAACACATAGAAAGAACAGCAATTTTTCAGTCTCCATTAGTCATGCAGATCTCTCAGTAATAGATATGAGAACAAAAGGAAACGTAAAACAGAGTATCTATTCACAGGGAAATTCCCATTGATAGTTTTTCTGTTACAAGAAGGACTTATAACTTGCAACTTGAAAGAAAGTTGCAAAAGCATAAGAGATTGCCATGTGGAGATTGCTGGGAGGAGCAAACATTTAAATAGGTCTAGTTAAAACCCCACCATGAATTAAGAGTACCATTCTTTTCCCTTAAAATGCATGCACAGTGAACGCTTGTTACTCTCCATAACGCAAATTGCTTTCTTATGTAGAAACTAACCAAAGGACAAAAGGAATTCAGAGCCACACTTAGCCTCTCATGTCCAGAGAGGCTCACTTCAAGTCATTGAATCATAGAAGAGTTTGGGTTGGGAAGGACTAGTCTAACCCCCTGCAATGAGCAGGGACATCTTCAACTAGATCAGGTTGCTCAGAGCCCCGTCCAACCTGACCTTGAATGTTTCCAGGGATGGGGCATCCACCACCTCTCTGGGCAACCCATTCCAGTGCTTCACCACCCTCAGCGTAAAAAATTCCTTCCTTATATTTAGTCTAAATCTACCCCCCTTTAGTTTAAAGCCATTCCCCCTTGTTCTGTCACAACAGGCCCTGCTAAAAACTCTGCCGCCATCTTTTTTATAAGCCCCCTTTAAGTCCTGATAGTCTGCAATAAGGTCTCCCCGAAGCCTTCTCTTCTCTAGGCTCAACAACCCCAACTCTCTCAGCCTTTCTTCATAGGAGAGGTGTTCCATCCCCCTGATCATTTTCGCGGCCCTCTTCTGGACCCGTTCCAACAGGTCCATGTCTTTCTTATGCTGAGGGCTCCAGAGCTGGACGCAGGACTCCAGGTGGGGTCTCACCAGAGCAG